CCCCAAAACCCCAAAACCCCAAAACCCCTTTTAAGAACCTCAAGAAGGAAAGAAATAATTAATATTAAAACACCAGAATGGAACGTCACTCCCTTGATTTCTCCTTTGATCAAGCTACTGAGATAATTGATCTGGACGAAAAGCTGGAGATGTTCTGAGCGGATGAAGAGACTGCCCAAGGGCACCCTCTCAATACTCGGATTCATAACCCATACCAGTATGTGTACACAAGTGATAGTTATACCTGTGTTCTGGCTGCAAAGCTTTGTCTAGATGGTTATGTCAAGGCACAACCTAAAATTATGAATTACCTTACTGATAATAAGAAGTATACTAAGAATGAAGATATTCAGATGATCATTACCAAGATTCTTTTGTTTGAAGCTCTTTTACAAACTGTTATTATTAATCTGAGGCATCATGAGACTATGAAGGACCATCAAGAGGTTGATCTAGACACTTTAGAGAAATATAAAACTGACGCTATTCTTCAGGAATTAGAGGAGAGTAGCAGCTTTAAAACTCAGGAACAGCTTGATGACCATCTTACTGAGATTTCAGAGAAATTTATCCATATTGATAAGAATGTGCTCCAAAATTGGGTTCTTGGAGCTGAACTTATTTGAGTTCCAGCTGTTTACTGAGTAATTCGCTCTCTTGAAAAATCTTTACATATGGTGAACCTGACTGCAAACTTGTTAGATGAACAAGATAAGAGCAGACACAGAAAAATATTTATTAGCATGGCTCACAGAATGGCCTGTTTGTTTGACTTTCTGTATGCAGCATGCCTAGATGATCCAAACGATATATTTTATCAAAATGATAAGGAAAATGAAGATCTTAAACTTTTGTTAGATTGCTGTAATTTCTCAATGGTAGAAGACCCTCAAGAACACTTAGAGAATAACAAATAAAAGAGTGATCGACAAGCATGAACAAATAGCCATCGCTATGAGAGGATTCAAGTATAAAAACATTGTTAGTCAGGCATTCTCCAGTATTTCTTGGTCTGTATACTATAAGATCAAGAAGCATAAGGTTTGGGACCATGGCACCTTTCTGGCTTCTATCTTAGATAGGGATGCTCTTGTCAGAGTTTTCAAGCTGATCCAGTCAAATTTTGTTCAGAAACAAACAGAAAACCAGAAGGATTTGCCAGAATGAGACGTTAAGTCTGCAATTACTATCCCTTTCTGACAAGAAGATATTTTGACTCTTGAAAACTTAGAAGATGAGGAACTCCCAGAGATGATTAAGAATGACCTTGATCTTCCTTTCACCAAAAAGGATGAGAATATGGATAAGACAACTCATACTCAGATCAGAGTTAACTGAGAGTTTAACTGGAGCAGAGTAAATTGGAAGAAAGGCAAACTTATTGATCCCAATTCTGACTGAATACACTACGATTGTGTTATTTTGTACATTCATGGAGGAGGCTTTATGACAGGATCTTCTGCTTCTTATCAATATTACACTATCAATTTTGCAAAAGAGACTGGATATCCGGTGTTTTCACTGGATTATCGGTTAGCTCCTGAATATCAGTTTCCTTGTGCTTTAAACGATTGATGGCAAGCATATCTTTGGATTGTTAAATATGCAAAGAAGTACTTGAAAATTACTTATGATAAAATTATTTTGATGGGGGACTCTGCCGGTGGTAATTTGTGACTCGGGATCACTGCTTTGTCTATCATCAAGCATTGCAAAATCCCAGATGGTCTGAATGTTGTTTACCCTGCTATTGCTCTTTCAAAAATTAAATTCGCACCTTCATTTTTACTTTCTCTCGATGATGTAATTTTAAGTTGAACATTCTTAAACATTTGTGGTAATTTTTATGCAGGAAATGAGTTAACTAAAAATCCTCCTGCTCTGTTATCAGTTGACAAACTCTCCGATAAGATCTTGAAACGATTCCCTCCCTGAAGATTTGTAGTAGCTGGTCATGACCCTTTGAGAGATGACTGATTCCGGTTTGTTTTACGGCTCAAAAAACAAGATGTTGATGTAAAGCTGACAGAATTTAAGGCTCTAATGCATGCATTTATTGGTAACGAAAGGGACTCTCATCCTATTCCTGAGTCTCAGAAAGCTATTACTACCATTATAAATTACCTCAAAGAGCTGTGTAAAAAGGATGATGAGTAATAATCACCCATATTTTCATATCGTACGTCAATCGTATTTATTTATCAATACTTTTAGTGCACCTTGGGGTTTTGGGGTTTTGGGGTTTTGGGG